TGGGCTCCGGCCATCCTTCCACCTCAGCCTTCCAAGTAGCTGGAACTACAGGCGTGTGCTACCATGCCCGGCTAATTTTTGATTTATTGTAGAGATGAGGTCTTGCCAAGTTGCCCAGGTGGGTCTCGAACCCGCGGGCTCAGGCAATCCACTCACCTCAGCCTATCAAAGGTGGGGGATTACAGGCTGAGCCACCGAGCCCAGCTTATACCCAGTTTTTTAATAAAAGACTGTAACAAAGGCTATGGGAGTTACCAACCAGGAACTATGGAGGAAAATCAATATTTAATACCACACTACCAAAAATGTATAGTGAGTCTTTCTCCCAGCCTTTCCCAAAGGGATGAACAGCCTTTTCTCAGGATAATGTGGCAGGATTTTACAGAGAGAGACGGTACACTGAGGCTTCTTTGCCAGGAAGCAGTGTTTATTCATGCTGGCACTGGCTCTGCAGATTCACATCCAAAGGCTGAGCCCCGAGCGTAGGAGGGCATTGCCTTATATACATTTTTAGCTTGTCTCCCTTGTAAGGCTACATATTGGTAACATACATTATGATTGGGTATTTCACAGCTCAAGGTTGCAGAAGGATTACACATGGGCATTACAGCTTGGGCCACATTCCTTTCTCTCGAACATAAATTTTTCTAAGAAGGTTCTTATCTCACGATCTAGGAGGACCCTTTCTCTATTCTAGGAAGGCCCTTATCTTGTACTAGGAAGGCCTCTGTCTCAATAACTGTGCACTGGGGAAAAGAGAATCGAGCCTTTTGTGAAACTAGTGGACACTGGTTGAACTGACACTAATTCTAGGAGACAAAAAAAAAGTCAGAGTAGAGGCTTATAGAGGTCAGATGATCAACAGTTTTAGCTCAGGTCCATCTCACAGTGGGCCCAGTGGATTCTTGAACCATCCTGTGGTCATTTCCCCCGTTACAGAATGCATAGTTGCAATAGTCATACTCAGCAGCTGATAGACCATTGGTTCTCTGACCTATGGAGTGAGGACTGTTTTGGTGAAAAAGGCCAAGTGGAAGCCACTAGAACTACCTGTACCTAGAGGAATAGTAAACTGAAAGCGGTACTGAATTCCCAGAAGGGCTGAAGAGATTAGTGCCACCATCAGGTACTTGAAGGATGCAGGGTGGTGATTCCTACCATATTTCCATTTAACTCACCTATGCAGTTTGAGCAGAAGACAGACGGATCTTGGAGAATAACAGTGGATTATTATAAGCTTGAGCAGGTGGTGACTCCAATTGCAACTGCCGTACCAGATGTGCTTTCATTGCTCAGGAAAATTAACAAAGCCTCTGATACCTGGTATGTAGCTATTGATCTGGCAAATGCCCTTTTCTCCATCCCTGTCCATAAGGCCAACCAAGAGCAGTTTGCTGGCAATGCAGCAAAAGACCTCACTGTTCTACCTCAGGGGTACATCAACTCTCCAGCCAGGTGAAAATTTTGTTCACAGGAATCTTTTTTTTGGAGTTGGAGTCTCACTCTGTTGCCCAGACTGGAGTACAATGGCATGCTCATGGCCACACAGCCTCGACCTGCTGGGCTCAGGCGAGGACTCATCAAGTTGCCCAGATCAAGTTGCCCAGGCTGTCTCAAACCGTTGGACTCAGGGAAGCCTTTCACCTCGGCCTCCCAAAGTGCTGGGATTGCAGACTTGAGCTACCGCAGAATCTTAATTGCTTTTTGTTGTTGTTGTTGTTGCAGTCTCACTCTGTTGCCCAGGCTGGAGTACAGCAGTACCAATCAGAAGCCTTGACCTCCTGGGCTCAGGCTATCCTTCTGCCTCAGCCTTCCAAGTAGCTGGAACTATAGGCTCATGCCACCATGCCTGGCTAATTTTTTGATTTATTGTAGAGATGAGGTCTCACCATGTTGCCTAGGCTAGTCTTTAACTCCTGGGCTCAGGCAATCCTCTTGCCTTGGTCTCCCAAAGTGGACCTCTATGAATTTTGGAGAAATGTATTTCTCATTTGGGTGTGTTAACTATGGCCCATTTACCAAGTGAACCAAAAAGTTGCTAGTTTTAAGTGGGGCTCAGAAGAGAAGGTTCAGCACAGATCCAGGCTATTGTGCAAGTGGCTCTGCTGCTTTGATCTGTATGATCCAGCAGATCCCGTGGTATCTGAAGTGTCAGTGGCAAATATAGATGCTTTGTGGAGTCTTTGGCAGGCTCCTATAGGTGAATCTCTTTGCAGGCTCTCAGAATTTTTGAAGCAAAGCCTTGTCATCCCCTGCAGATGACTTTTTTTTCTTTTTGAGTTGGAGTCTCATTGTGTCACCCAGGCTGGAGTGCAGTGGGTCACACTCATGGCCACTGCATCCTCAACCCGCTAGGCTCAGGCGATCCTTCTGCCTCAGACTGTCAGGTAGCTGGAACTACAGATGCGTGCCACCATGCCCAGCTAATTTTTTTTATTTACTGTAGAGATGTGATCTCGCCAAGTTGCTCAGGCTAGTCTCGAATCCCTGGATTCAGGCAATCCTCTCGCCTCTACCTCCCAAAGTGCTGAGATTGCAGGTGTGAGCCATTGCACCTAGCGTTGCAGATAACTTCTATCCTTTTGAGAAACAGCTCTTGGCCTACTACCAGGCCTTAGTAGAGTCTGAATGCTTAACCATGAGTTATGAAATTATCACGTGACCTGAGCTACCTGTCATGAACTGGGTGCTATCTGATCCACCAAACCAGAAAATTGGGTGCAAACAACAGCACTCCACCATCAAATGAAAGTGGTTATGTATGTGATTGGGTCCAAGTAGACCTTGAAAGCATAAGTAAGTTATATGAACAAATATCCCAAATGCTCCCTACTCCTGCTATACTGCCTTCTTTCTCCCAGCCTACACCTGTGGCCTCATGGGGAGTTCCCCATGATCAGCTGGTAGAGGAAAGAAAGACTTTCCTCTGGTTTACATATAGTTCTATGTGATATACAGGCACCATCTAAAAAGTACAGCTATAGCAACATAGACCCTCTCTGGGATATCCCCGAAGGGCAGTTGTGGAGGGAAATCTTTCTAGTGGGCAGAGCTTTGAGCAGTAAACCTAACCATTTATCTTTCTGTTGCTCCATCTTGACTAAAAGCAGAAATTTTGAGCCATTTTATTGAACAATTTTTCTAATTTCTACATTTTCTCTGAACTTAATTCAAATAATTGCCTTTAAAAATTCAACCATGTATTATTAACTTATTATGGCCAGGTACAGTGGCTCATGCCAGCACTTTGGGAGATCAAGGTGGGAGGATCCCTTGAACCCAGGAGTTTGAGATGAGTTTGGGCAACATAGTGAGACATTGTCTCTACAAAAATAAAAATAAAAAAATAGCTGAGCATGGTGGTAATGCTTGCAGTCCCAGCTACTTGGGAAGCTGAGTCTGAAGGATTGCCTGAGCCTAGGAAGTCAAGGCTTTGATAAGCTGGGATTGTACCACTGCACTTCAGCCTGTGTGACAGAGTGAGAACCTGTCTCAAAAATAATGTTGATGATGATAATAATAATGTTAATAATAACTAACTAAGAAAAGCTGTTCTAACTAAGGTAGTCTCTGTTGATTCATCACAATCCCCATGGTTTAAAAAAGGTGGCTTTGGTTGGGCTCAGTGGCTCATTCTATAATCCTAGCACTTAGGGAGGCTGAGGCAAGTGGATTACCTGAGCCTGTGGGTTCGAGACCAGCCCGGGCAACTTGGCATGACTTCGTCTCTACAATAAATTTTTAAAAATTAGCCAGGCTTGGTAGCGCGCACCTGTAGTTCCGGCTACTTGGAAGGTTGAGGCAGAAGGATCACTAGAGCCCAGCAGGTTGACACTGGGGTAGCTGTGAGACTGAAACTGCACTCCAGCCTGGGCGACAGAGTGAGACTCCAACTCAAAAAAAAAAAATGTGGCTTAGGCTCTGGTGTAGTGGCTCATGCCTGTAATCCCAGCAGTTTGGGAGGCCTAGGCAGGAGGACTGCTTGATCCCAGGAGTTTGAGACCAGCCTGGGCAACATAGCAAGACTTTGTCTCTACAAAAAAAATAAATAATTAGCTGGATGTGGTGGCATGTGCCTGTGGTCCCAGCTACTCAGGAGGCTGATGTAGAAGGATTGCTTGAGCCTAGGAGGTCGAGGCTGTGATCATATCACGGCCCTCCATCCTAGAAGACAGAATAAGAAACCAACTCAAAAAAAAAAAAAAAAAAAGCACAAAACAAACAAAAAAAAGGTGGCTTATAATATCATACCAATAGTACAAATCAGATATTTTATCTTTAGGAAAAAAATTAAGTTTTTATTTTCACTATTCGCACATTAATATGACAAATCAGATACCTTAGAGGAAGACTTACCACTTTCTAAACAGTATCATTTGTGATTCTGGTGACAAAATGGTATGGGGTGGGAAAAGACAATAAATATATCTTAAATAGAAGCACTGATGTAACTTCATAAAATGCAAGTTAAATAGTTCATTGGATAAATGACTTGCTGTATAATTGGATTTCATATTATACATATTAATAAAATAATATAACAAAAATAATAATCAAAGACAGGCAGATGAGAAGCAATATATAATAAACTCTGAAGCTAAAAAAATCTGAAAATTAAAATCTTGAAACTAAGATTTCAGAATAAAAGAATAATAAAAATAGTGATTTTTCTTTTTGAGTTGGAATCTCACTCCATTGCCCAGGCTGGAGTGCAGTGGCACGCTCACGGCCACCCCAGTGCTGACCTGCTGGGCTTCAGCGATCCTTTCACCTCAGCCTTCCAAGTAGCCAGAACCACAGGCATGCGCTACCACCTCTGACTAATTTATTTTTATTTTTATTTTTATTGTAGAGCTGAGGTCTCGCCAAGTTGCCCAGGCTGGTCTCAAACCCGTGAGTTCAAGCAATGCACTTGCCTCGGTCTCCCAAAGTGCTGGGATTACAGGTTGAGCCACCGAGCCCGGCCAAAAATCGTGTTTTTAAAGAAATGTTGATTTGATAGGATGCTTTGTAAGCTGGAAAGCCAGTAAGAAGATTCAGAATGAGATGACAAAGGTTAGAATCATGGTGGAAGTATGTACAATAGAAATGTCAAGACATTTTGGTAAACAATATTTCTTTCACTTATATAGGAAAATTAAGATTAAATACATTATAAAATACCATTTCAAACATAATTACAACAATAACAAGAATGAAGCTATCTTCAACAGGATTTTCAGATGTTTGCTTGAATGATTCTTGACACTCCATAGGAACTCAGCAGCAGTTTGTGTTGCCTAGAAGAAGTAATAAAAAGAAGCATTAGTATGCTAAATTAAAAATAATTCATCACTCATTATAAACTAAAAACAGGCCTCCTAGCTTCTAATAGATAGAAGCAAAGTTTATGTTCTGTAGCATGATTTTATTTATATTCCTTAGTCACTATTTCAACCAATTTTAATTTATTGTGAAAAATACAAAGATTCACAGTCAAGAAAGAAGAAATTTACTTCTCTGAGACTACATATTAGAAAACGTTCTTTCAAGTTGCCATTGGGAGAAGAGGGAGGGATTTTAAAAAAGAAATAAAATAATTAAGGACCTAGAGACATTTAGTTAAAATACTAAGGGTATTATAAAAGAAATAATTTGGGGTGTGTGGGCAGGAGCAAAAAATGTCAGATAAAGCAAGGAAGATGTGATTTGAACTGGACTTGAAGGATAGGTGGAATCTGGATCTACAGAAAAGAGAGTATAGAAGGAGGGAAAAAATAGCATTGTACATCACAATCTCAGTTAGACTTTCTTTCTTTTTTCTTTTTTTTGAGTCAGAGTCTCATTCTGTCACCCAGGCTGGAGTGTAGTGGCATGATCATGGCTCATCGCAGTCTCAACCTCCTGGGCTCAGGTGATCCTTCCATCTTAGCTTCCAGAGTAGCTGGAACTACAGGAATGCGCCATCACACCCAACTAATTTTTTTGAATTTTTTTGTAGAGACGAGGTTTTGCTATGTTGCTCAGGCTGGTCTTGAACGCCTGGGTGCAAGCAATCCTCCTACCTTAGTCTCCCAAAGTGCTGGAATTACAGTGAGCCACCACACCCAGCCTCAGGAATTTCTTTTATATAAGATGTCAACAAATTTTCAGTTCATGAAATAGATAGCTTGCTAAGTGCAATGAAAGCAAATCAAAGGAAGATGATACTTCTATGTATTTATTCATTTCTTACCTTCTTTTAATGGGGTTTTGAGGGCAACATTTTCTTTACTTTCATGATGAAAAGCCTTTGAAGGATCAAAGCGTTTGATACCCAGAACTTTATTCAATTCTTCCTGAAGTTTTTTCTCATTTTGTTTTGTTTTAGAAAGCTGAGAGCGGAGTTTTGATACCTCCTATGTAAGAAAAACACAGATAATAAACAATTATTAAAGATTATGTCAGTTAAATATCTTACCAACGGTGCGGGCAAATTCTGAAGTTGCTTATATATCAAACCCTAAAGGCAAAAAGCACTACTGGATACAGTCCTTAAGACTGAATTATAAAATGACTTTAAACAGTTGTGACAAAGGAGATAAAAAAACAGTCTTTTAAATCTTCTTGTCCCTCTCTGCTACAAAGCTAATATATATATATATATATATAGCTATTTTGTGTGTGTGGGTGTAGACAAGGTCTGCTGTGTTGCCCGGGCTGATCTCAAACTCCTGGCCTTAAGAGATCCTCCTGCAACAGCCCCCCAAAGTGCTAGGATTACAGGTGTGAGCCACTGAGCCTTGCTAAAGCTATTTTTCTGATAAAAGTTCAACTTAAAATTAATTGCCAAGATCCACTGTAGCGTAAAGGCATGAAAGCATCAAAGAAATCTCTTCTGATCTGCTCCCTATTAAAACTAAAAATTATAAAAAGGTAACCAGTTAAGGCCTCTGAAAATGGAACTAAGGGGAAAATAGCAAATGAAGAAACATCTTCTCAAGAAAATCTGCAAAAATTTGGTAAGAAAGATGGGAGTCTGCTGAATTTGAACCCAAACCGCTCTCTCTCCTCACTGCTGGCTTGGCAAGGCAGAGAATCTATACCAGACTGCTGCAGCCAAGAATATAGGCTCCGTCTTCCCCCAGATTGCTTCTGTTTCTATTGAGATGGTCATGTAATTGGTGAGGACATGGAGAAAGTCGTACCCTCATACACTGCTGGTAGAATATAGAACGGTACAGTCACTTTGAAAAACAGCCTGGGCCGGGCTCGGTGGCTCAGCCTGCAATCCCGCACTTTGGGAGGCCGAGGTGAGTGGATTGCCTGAGCCAGTGGGTTCGAGAACTGCCTGGGCAACTTGGCGAGACCTCATCTCTACAATAAATCAAAAAAAAAAAATTAGCCGGGCGTGGTAGCGCGCGCCTGTAGTTCCAGATACTTGGAAGGCTGAGGCAGAAGGATCGCCAGAGCTCAGCAGGTCGAGGCTGCGGTAGCCGGGAGCGGCCACTGCACTCCAGTCTGGGCGACAGAGTGAGACTTCAACAACAACAACAAAAAAATTGAAAAACAGCCTGACAGCTCCTCAAATGATTAAACACAGAACTACCATATAACCTAGCAATTTCACTCCTAGGAATATATCCAGGGAAATAAATACAAATGTACATACAAAAACTTGTACATGAATGTTTATAGTAGTGTTATTCATAATCGCCAGAATGTGCAAACAATCCAACTGTTCACCAACCAATGAATGAATAAATAAAATGTGGTATACGCACACAATCATTAGGCCAAAGAAAGGAATGATGTACTGACACATGCATGCTACAACATGAATAAACTTTGAAAATATTATGCTCGCCGGGTGTGGTGGCTCACACCTATAATCCCAGCACTTTGGGGGGCTGAAGTGAGAGGATTACCTGAGCCCAGGGGTTCAAGACCAGCCTGGGCAACTTGGCAAGACTTCATCTCTACAAAAGCAAACCAAAAAACCATTACGCTAATTAATTGAAAGAAGCCAGTCACAAAACACCACATATTATTTGATTCCATTAAAATGAAATGTCTACAACAGGTAAATCTATAAAGGCAGATAGTAAATTAATGACTACTTAGGGATGAAGGGTGGTATAAGATGAGAAAGTGTTGTAAAAGGGTACAAGATTTCATTTTGAGGTGCTGAAAATATTCTAAATTGACTGTGGTGATGACTGTATATCACCACAGTTTAGATGAAAATACTAAAAGCTATTAAACAGTCCACTTTAAATGAGCAAATTGTATGGTATATATCTCAATAAAGCTGTTAAAAAACTTAAATACCTATTTTTGAACACTGCTTGTCTTTATAATATTTACATTAAGGAGTTTGCATTTTCACAAATAGAAATAAATATGTAAATCTTTATGAATTCTTCTAATTACTCTAGTAATTTTCAACACACTAAAGAGGTAGTTGGAAAATCTCAGAATATTGAATACCCATCTGGTTAATACTCCAAAATAAATCCATTAATTCTCAGATTTTCCTCTATAAACTGTTAAGTTTTTCTGATACCAAAGATCTTCATTTTATTTAAATATTATACATATTTTAGAATAACCCCTAGCCCAATATCTGTAATAAAAATGCTATTTTACAAACCGACTTGAGTTGGCTATTTTCATCTTTTAATTTCACAACATGCTTGATTTTTTGTTTTAAATTCTGATGACCTAATAATTTAGCATATGAATCTCTTATTTTATTTAGCTGTTCTTGAGCTTCACCATGTTCACTCAACAATGCCTGTTTCTCTGCTTCAAATGCATCCAGTTGTAGCTGAAAAAGATAAAGACGACAGTTTAACCTTACTAGTTTCATATAAGCCCTTAAATAAACAAACAAAAAAACCCCATAAAATAGAATATGCTTATATATTCTCAGGAATCTCTACTGATTCTCTATGAAAACCATCTAAACTCTGTGCTTTTTAAATATCCTTAAACCAGAGGAAAAGAAACAAGATAAACAGCTAGCCAGCCTTATCTGTTATCATCTGCATCATCACATTATAACCAATACTGTAGTTCTACTCAATTTAAGTGCCAAAACTAGCATTTATCCTTTGTTTTAAAAGATCAGAGTATTAATTTCAGAAACAATGAGAAAGATCATAACAAAATGCATATCACAAATTAAAATACGTTAATTATCAAAAGCTCATACCAGTAGAGCTTTCTGAGCTATTAACCTTTTTTTTTTTGTTAAGTCGGAGCCTCACTCTGTTTAGGCAGGAGTGCAGTGGCATGATCATGGCCACTGCAGCCCTGACCTATTGGACCAAGGCAATCCTTCTGACTCTGCCTTCCAAGTAGCTGGAATCACACGCATGTCACCACGCTGAGCTAATAGCGAATTTTTAAATTTATTGTAGAAACGAGTTCTCGCCAAGTTGCCCAGACTGGTCTTGAACTCCTGTGCTCAGGCAATCCTCTAATCTCCACCTTTCAAAATATTGGGACCACAGGCATGAGCCACTGAGCCCAGTTAAGCTATTAACTTTAAATTCCTTATTATAGACTTATTTTTCATCTATAAAAGCAACCTTAGGAAATTTATGCCAATTAAATGTGTCAATTATATCTTAATAAAGCTGGAAAAATGTATGCACAATTAAATTCATAAGTCTTCTTTAATAAGAAACTAAATTGGCCCTGTAAGTACACAATAAAAAGATCTTACAGAAGAACCAAAGTCACTGTCATGATCATAACAGGGAACAAAAGTGAATTCCTAAAATAAACACAAGTAAGCTTACTACTAACTGACAAACCTGAAAAGGTTTTGTTTTATTATACAGTTCTTCATAAAGCAGACGCCACTTATTAATTTCTTCAGTCAATTCTGCCATTGTATTTTCATTTTCAGTTTTTCTGCATGGAAAAATTAAATTAAAAAACATAGTTTATTTAAAAAATAACATCACAACTGAGTTACATGGCACTCAGTTTCCAATCATAGTACCTGGCTTTTTCATCTTCCAGTTGTTTCCTAAAGTCCTCATCTTGTTGCTTGAGTTGGTTTTGCAAATCAGTTATTTTTTCAAGAGAAGAAACTGTGATTTCTTTAATTTCTGCTTCTTTAAGTGTTGACTTGGTCTGCAGCTCTAGAAGCATCCTTGGGTTTGAGAAGTAAGAATCCACTGAGCATTTGACAGCTATTTGAATTACTTTTTTTTTTTTTAAACTTAAGAAACTCTTTAAGAATTGTTAATTTTTTTTCTGAGACAAGGTCTCACTCTGTCTTCCAGGATGGAATGCAGTGGCACGAGCACTTACCATAGCCTTGATCTCCTGGGCTGAGGTTATCCTTCTGTCTCAGCCTCTCAGGTAGTTTTTTGATTTTTTGTAAAGACGAGGGCTCAGTATGTTGCCTAGGTTAGTCTCGAACTCCTGGGCTCAAGCAGTCCTCCCCTCCTTGGCCTCCCAAATTGGTGGGATTGCAGGTGTGAGCTACCATGCTGGCCTTTAGCTGAGTAAATTCCTAATTTGCAATTTAAGATTGCCAAAAGTAAACTATTTAACAATTCCCTGTGCCACTCACTAGCTGTCTTTCAACAATAAATTGTCTTAATAGTTCTAAGGCCGTTATTTATTTTTTTGTTTAACATACCTTGCATATTCTTGATTTGCACTCTCAGTTGCCAATATCTTATGTTGAGCATCCTCTGCACTTTTTTCAGCCTTAGTCACTTTTTCTTGTAGGGAAGTGTTGTCCAGCTTAAGATCTTCTATCTCACCAGCTGTTAATGTTTTATACCTTATTTAACAAAAACAAAGAAATTTTCTAAGTCCTGTACACATGCCAAATATATAGTTGATCAGTTTAGATTTTATACACTTTTAGGTAGAGCAGACAAAAACTTATAATATAGTCATGCATTTACCCAGATAAAAATTCAGTGTTCCTAGGTAAGCACCAGTGAGTTTACAAGGTATTTGCTGTGTATTCAAATAAAATAAAAGGAAGTGCCTACCATGTGCAGGAAATATGCATACAGAGGTGAAAAAAAATCAACTCCCAAGCAAGAAAATGACTCAAAAGAACAAAAAAAGAAATGACACTGGAGCCCAATGAGAAAGAAGGGCAGGAGCAGAAGCTGAAGGCATGAGGCAGGTCATCACCACAGGGTACAATGGGTTTACCTGAAGGACAAAGGGAAGCCACTAAAAGTGTCTAAGTAAGTGTATAGATGACTTAGAGATATGAGGAGGGTGGCTTGGGGAAGGGCAGGAATGAAAAACTGAAAGATCAACTAGAAGACAATTATTTATCAGTTGAGGTGAGTGACAGAAGATGGGGGTATTACTATGCTGCCCCGCTGGCATGCAAAGTCTACTTATAGGCATGATCATTGTGCACTGAAGCTTCAGACTCCTGGGTTTAAATGATCTTCCTACTTCAGCTTCAGTAGATGGAACTAAAGGCATGTGCCACCGTGTTGCCTGTTTTGTTTTTTGATTGCTACCTCTGAAGTGTTTGTGCTCCTTCAAAAATGTAATTCGAGGTATAACTTATAGTATGTTAAACTAATGTACACATAGAGAAAACAATGAACATTTTTTTGCTAAAGGGCAGAATTCTTTGTTTTTTTCCTAAGTTCATTATTGTTGTAATGTTGATGTCCAATAATTTTTAGAAAATATAAGAGTAGCAAAGGAGTGTAAAACCTTGGTCATTTGTTTATTAAACCTCTGGCCTTAAAAAAAAAAAGAGCGAAACTTTTAACTTTGACTATCTTACTTATTTGCATATACATTTACTTTATCTTTCTATGCCTATTACTTAATTATAAAATAATTCGAACCTTACAAACTCAAATAATTGATCTGAGAATCCTAAGAAAATGTACTCAAAAATAACTTAACATCTGAAGTCATATATGAACATGAGCTTCCATCAATACAAACTCTTTTATCTTTTCTTCTAGGAGATTTCGCTCTTCAGCTATAGATTTTGTTTCCTCTTCCAGTTGCTGGACGAGCCTTTCAGTTTGTTCCTCCTTTTGTTGTAATTTATCAAGCTCATCCAGTGCTTGCTTTACTTGTTCCTCAAGGAGATTCTTCTCTTGAATCCTTTCCTCTTGAAAAGAACATAGCTTTTGCTGAAGACTAGAAGATAATTCCTGTATCCAAACAGAAAACCACCAAAATAATTTGAAATGGCATTGTGAGGTCTAACTAAGAGACAAAAAAGAAATACATACAATTATAAAAATAGTTGTTGAGATATTTCCAGGTCAGTATATACTTAATTCTTTTAGTTGTTGCAGGTTGCCCAACAATATAATATTTCACATCAGTGCATGCAAGTACCTATTGGCTCAACTGTCAATGTTTTATATATCAAACATTTCAAATTTGTAAGTGGAAAAAAATTATTTCCATTTCCTTGGTTACTTCTGAGGTGGAGCATCTTTTAATGTTTACAGACTATCTGAATTTCTCCTTTTGAGAATTATCTATTTCCATCCTATACGTATGCTTTTTCAGTGGACTTTTTTCCCCCATTGATATGCAAAATGTTCTTTATGTAATCTGGTTTTTAAGAATTGTTTTGTTTCTCCTGCAATTAGATATTCTTTCATAAGATAACTGTACATATCTTTAGAGCTTACACAAGACTATGATGGAAAATTAAAAAAAAATGATTTCCTTATTTTGCTGCATCTGTTATTTGTAACTTTTCCACATTATTAATAAACCTGTGGTGAACATGTAGTAAAGATACATGGCTAGGCGGGGCACAGTAGCTCATACCTGTAATCTCAATACTTTCTAAGTCTGAGGCAGGAGGACTGTTGGAGCCCAGTAGTTTGAGAACCGCATAGACAACATAGTGAGACCTCATCTCTACAAAAAAACTCTAAAAAATTAGTCAGGTGTGGTGGCACATGCCTGTAGTCCCAGCTACTCAGGAGGCTGGGGCAGAAGGATCACCTGAACCTAAGAGGTCAAAAATGCATTCAGCAGTGAGCGTGCCATTGGACTCTAGCCTGGGCGACAGAATGAAAGCCCTACTCAAAAAGAATGAAAGCCCCATTCAGAAAAAGAAAAAAGAAAACAGAAGAAAGAAAGATATGTGACTAAATCTTTAGCATATCCATAATTATTTCCTCAAGATATGACTCTAAAAATAGAATTGTTGGATCAAAGTATATACACAATTTAAAGATTTTCTGATACATAGTAAAATTTATGACACAAAATAAGCACAGTTTTAAAACACTATTGTAGGAAACTACCTTCTCTTGTTGTAGACATGAATTAATTTGTAATTCTTTTTGTTGAAGCTTTTCATTTTCCTGTTTTTCAAGAATAAATTTCTCCTTTAAGTTTTGCATTTCAATATTTAGATTTTCTCCCCGTTCTCTATCCTTGTGGATGAGGTCTTCTATAAAAGGCAAAACATTAAAAATACTGTAAATAGATACTAACATTAACTTTGAGAAACCCAGACTCCCATAATACTCCATTATATTGCTTTTAGCAGTTTACACAGATAAAGTATTCCCAAAGAAAAAGACGAAACCATGAACTTTGTATCACTACTAAATATAAGATATATGCTATGTAATAAAGCCTCCAAATCTAGTTTCATATATCTTTCAATTTTAAAAGGCCATTCAGTGAAAAACTCAAGAACTGCACAACTGTATAATTTCAATCAAGACAAGTAACATACTGAATTGATACACAGAAAACAAACACTATAAAAGTAAAAAATTCTAAATTATAGAACAAGGATCTGTTGTTGCTGAGATAATTAAATTTAAAAAGTTGTTTTCACATAGCAATTCTTTTTAAAAATATTACATGTAACACGTATCTAAAGAAAGTAATTATAAACACTATAATACCTTTTTCTTTTTCAAGCAGTTGACATTTAGCATTCAGGTCTTCTACTTGTTTAGATAACATAATATTTTCTTCAAGAGATTGCTTAAGGCTTAATACTTCATGATCTTTCTCTTTCAAATTTTCTTCTAACTGGGCAATATGCAGCTTATATTTTTCCACTTGATCTGATGCACAACTGCATTAAAACAAATTACTTTGAAGAGCACATGTATTTAGGCACATGGAGAATAGAAAAATGATTTAAAAAAATAATTCAGTGTTCAGCAAAATAAACTACTGTTCATACTACCTAATTTCCTCGATGTATTCTAAGAGTTTTTCTGTTTCAGATTTTTCATCAATCCATTCTTTTTCTATTGAAACACTAAAAGAAAATTGCATATGTTAATTAACACATCCTAATTTATTTATTTAATAATAATAAATAGCATTAAGGAGCAAGATGGCCAACTAGAAGTAGCTAGTGCGAGCCTCTCATATGGAGTGAATCAAAATAGAATGTCTTAGCACTCAGAGCAAAATGAGACCAGCAGTACACCCCACAACTCACAAAAGAAGCAACAGGACCCAGAGTGTGCCAAGAAGAGAGAAAGGGATCAGCCTGGAAATAGGCAGACTCACTTGGATCACTGACACAAACCACCAGCAACCTCTGGACATGGCTGGGAGGTGAATGAGGTGAATTCAGGAGTTTTGTGCCACAAACTTAGAAGGCCCGGAGTCTCATTATACTCCTGACTCGCAGGGGAAACTGCCTTATCCAGAGCTGTGAAAACCCATGTGGAGTTGTGGAGCTGTGGAAACCCCTGTGGATTGTGCAAGCAAAAGCACCATGAGCTGCTTCAGCTACATTTCCCAGAAACTTAACCCTTGCTGGTGGCTGCATTCTAGAAGTACTAATAATTTCACTTGCCTGCATTCTAGAAGTTTGATGATTTCACTTGCCCCAGCTAGACAGTTTCTGTCTGGGGTGGGCTGCTGTGAGAAGACCTGAGGCTTGAATGCAGATTGCCTGGGGCAAAGGCATGAGAGCTAGGTGGGATTCATTGCCCCAGCAGCCCCTCACTGTGAACTCTTGTGCAGTGGAAAAACAGAATAGAGAGAGAAGCCAGAAATAAACCCAGATACCCATAACCAACTGATCTTCGACAAAGCAGACAAAACATACACTGGGGAAAGCACACCCTATTCAACAAATGGTGCCGGGAAAATTGGATAGCTACATGCAGAAAAATAAAACTTGATCCTTATCTCTCATCACATAAAAAAATTAACTCAGATAGATTAAAGACTTAAATGTCAGACTTGAAACCATAAAATTTCCTTGAAGGAAACCTAGGAAAAACTCTTCTGGACGTTGGCCCAGGCAAAGAATTTATGGCTAAGACCCCAAAAGCAAGTGCAACAAAACCAAAAATAAACAAGTGGGATTTCATAAAACTACAAAGCTTCTGCATAGCAAAAGAAGTAATCAACAGAGTAAACAGATAATCCACAGATTGGGGGAAGATATCTGCAAACTATACATCTGACAAAGGACTAACATCCAGAATCTCAAATAGCTCAAACAAATCAGCAAGAAAAAAGCAGTTAACACCACTAAAAAGTGGGCAGCTGGGCACAGTGGCTCAAGCCTGTAATCCCAGCACTTTGGAAGGTGGAGGTGGGAGGATCACTTGAGGCCAGGAGTTTGAGACCAGACTGGGCAATAAAGTTAGAATCCATCTCTACAAAAAAAAGAAAAATTAGCTGAGCATGGTGGCACCTGCCTATAATCCCAGCTACTCAGGAGGCTGAGGCAGGAAAATTGCTTGAGCCCAGGAGTTTGAGGCCACAGTGAGCTGTGATCATGTCACTGCATTCCAGCCTGCATGACAGAGTGAAATCCTGTCTCAAATTAAAACATCACAAAAAAGTGGGCCAATGACATTAACAGACATCTCTCAAAAGAAGATATACAAATGGCCAACAAACATATGAAAAAATGCTCAACTTCACTTATCATCAGGGAAACACATATTAAAACCACAGTGAGTTGCCACCTTATACCAGTCAGAATGGATATTATTAAAAACAACAACAATAGATGTTGCCACAGATGCAGTAGAAAGGGAATGCTTATAACAATGTTGGTGGGAATGCAAGTTAGTATAACCTCTATGGAAATCAGTATGGAGATTTCTTAAAGAACTAAAAGTAGATCTACCATTCAATTCAACAATCCCAATACTTGGTATCTACCCAAAGGAACAGAGGACATTACAGAAAAAAGACACCAGCACTAGTATGTTTATTGCAGCACAATTAACAATTGCAAAGATGTGGATTCAACCTAAATACCCACCAACTGCTCAGTGGTATCATGGAATATGATTCAGCCATAAAAAAGAATAAAATAATGTCTTTTGCAGCAACTTGGATAGAACTGGAGACTACCATCCTAAGTGAAATAATGCAGGAATGGAAAACTAAATACTGCATGTTCTCATTTAAAAGTGGTTGTTAAACTAAGGATCTGCAAAGACATAGAATGGTATAATGAGGCCAAGTGCAGTGGCTCACGCTTGTAATCCCAGCATTTTGGGAGGCCAAGGCAGGAGGATTGCATGAACCCAGAAGTTCGAGACCAGTCTCAGCAACATAGTGAGACCTCATCTCTATAAAAAAATTTAAAAACTAGGTAGGTGTGGTGGTGCATGCTTGTAGTCCCAGATAATCAGGAGGCTAAGTTGGAGAGATCACTTGAACCTAGGAGGTTGAGGCTGTGATCATGCCACTGCTCTCCAGCCTGGATGGCAGAATGAGATCCTGATTCAACAACAACAACAACAAAATATAATGGTATAATGAACACTGGAGACTCAGAAGGGGAAGGGTAGGAAGGGGAAAGGGATGAAAAATCACCTATTGTGTACAATGTACATAGGTGGAAATGGTGGGTACACTTAAAGCCCAGATGTCTTTGCCACTATACAATGCATCCATGTAACCAAAAACCATTTGTACCCCCTAAAACTAATGAAATTAAAAAAAAAAAAGATGGTGATTACTAGGGGCTGAAAGAAGAGAATGAGAAGTTATTGTTTTAAGGATGGGAGTTTGGGTTTTACAAAACAAAAGGAATTATGGAGTTGGATGGTGGTGATGACTGCATAACATTGTGAAAGTATTTGTCAGTGAGCTGTGTACTTAAAAACTGTTAAGACAGTAAATTTTGTTATGTCTCTTACTACAATTTTTTTTAAAAAATGGAATAAATGTATATAATGTATGTCTCTGTTTCACTCCATATCTTCCAGTCAAGCAATAGCTATTTTAACAGTTTAATATTGTGGATTATAGCATTAGACTCTTAATCCAATTTAAACTCTCTATTCTCATCCACATGAGTAATATCTTCACTACTGCAACCTTCCAGAAGGGTTTATGGAAAATTAGCATGAAGACAAGATGTATTAATAATTAATCAAATATTAAACAGAAACATTAAGCTTTCAAAAAGAATCATCATCATCATAAATAATGTTTCTATAACCAGATACTGTTTTATCAGGCAGGCTGACTCCAGAGTCTACATTCTTAACAACTTTTTTCTATTAACATTTTTTTTGTATATGTATGTGGTGCCAAAAAAAGGTAAACACATTTTAAGTATGACATCCACTCAAAAGACAGCATTAATCAAATGAATGCTAGTGTCACCATGTGACAGGCAGGACAGTTAAAAATAAAAATGGCGGAAGTGCAGTTGAGTGACTGTCATACTACACATTGCTACCATAATTCAACTTCAAAAAGTAATACATAGATAGCATCTCTTAAAATGTGTATACATTTTTTGGCATCCCCATTATATATTTTCTTAACCCTTATTTTATATGAGCTCTCAAATTGACAACTTACATTCAAATAGGGGACTAAAGCTTTTATTTAAGTGAAAAAGGTTTCTGAACATATTCTGACAAAAGAGTTATGATGATGAGAACCATCCTTATGACATTCCAAGTGTTAGAAATAATTTTTTTTTGTGGCTTTCCTGTTTTCTCCACCTATTGACATACTAAACAGCATTTTGTGTGCCTTAAAGCTTTTGTCCCAGACTACCTGGTATTCAACTGTTTATGTCTTTACTTCTTCCAAAACACTCAACTTAAGAAATGAATAGATCTAAATAGACACCCTTACAAAAGGAGATATATGAATGGTCAATAAACACATAGAAAGATGCTCGACAATAATAGTAACAAATCAAAATTACAAATTAGATATGACTTCACACTCACTAGAAAGGCCAAAATCAAACAAACTGACAACAGCAATTGTTGGTGAGAATGTGGAACAACTGGAGCTATGCACGCTGTTACTGAGTATATAAAATGGTACAACCACTCTGAGTTTTTCAAAACATTATACATACATTACCCTATGACCCAAGGATTCCACTCCTAGAAATTTATCCAAGAGAAATAAAACATATGTCCACAAAAGGACATAAAACGTGTTTGTAGCAGGCTTCTTCATTATAGTAAGAAACTGCAAACAGCCCAAATAATGATTAAAGAATAGATAAATGGAGATATATTCATATAGTGAAATACTACTTAGAAATAAAAGGGAAAAGCTTATGGTACACATAACAGTATGGATGAATCTTATTATGTTTATTTTGGGATCTTGCTTTGTTGCACAGGTTGGAGTGCAGTGGCACAATCATAGCTCACTGCAACTCCAAACTCCTGGGCTCAAGCAATCCTCCTGCCAAAGCCTCTCAAGTAGCTGAGACTACAGAGGTACACTACCACACCCAGCTAATCTTTTAATTTTGTTTATGGAGATAGGGTCTTGCTGTTTTGCAAAGGCTGGTCTCAAACTCCTGGCCTCAAGTGATTCTTAGGCTTTAGCCTCTCAAAGAGCTGAGACTATAGGCATGAGCCACCATGCCCAGTCAAACATGAATGAATCTTGAAAAATTACATAAAACAAAAGAAGCCCTCCCCCCATGCTGTGATAGACACTCTAAAAAAAGGCAAAGCTTGCAGGGCTCAGTGGCTCAGCCTGCAATCCTGCGCTTTGGGAGGCCAAGGTGAGTGAACTGCCTGAGCCCGGGGGTTCGAGACCTGCCTGAGCAACTTGGTGAGACCTCATCTCTACAATAAATAAAAAAAATTAGCTGGGCATGGTAGCGCACGCCTGTAGTTCCAGCTACTTGAAAGGCTGAGGCAGAAGGATCGCCGGAGCCCAGCAGGTTGACGCTGGGGTGGCGGTGAGTGTGCCACTGCACTCCAGCCTGGGCGACGGAGTGAGACTTCAACTAAAAAAAAAAAAATGTAAAGCAAAGCTAAATTATGATGATAGAAGTCAGAAAGTAGTTGCCGAGGTGGCAAATATTACACAGGTAGTAGCAAGGAGACAAGGGGCAAGAAACTTTCTGAAGGGATGAAAATATTCTCAATCTTGTTTGGCTAATGGTTACACAGCTGTCTACAACTGTCAAACGTCATTAAACTGAACGACTATGATCTGTGCATTTTACTGTATGTAACCTATAGCTCAGTAATAAAAAGGCTAGGACTGTGCCTTAATCATAGCTTCCTATACCAATGTTTCTCAATTTCAGTCTACCAACTCTGTAAGATCTTAAGACCTTTACTCGTCATTAATACAGAAGATGTACAAAAGTAATACATTCATATAACTGTCTAGTATAAAATGTTTGGGAATGACTAGGGCTCCACTGTCATTAGAAGGAGAAACAGAGCAAACAAAGAAAGGCAAAAACATAAGTCCTGAGGAAAGGTTGAAGACTCAGTAAACAATAACTAGCTGAGAGTCAAAAGGAGAATTGGTTGACTCTACAATTTCTTTTTTCTTTCAGTCACTTACAGCTTCCCCTCAAGTTGGGCTATTTTCCCCTGAGACTCTTCAAGATTCTTCTGCGTGATCTGCAGCTTCATCGCCATGCCTTCTTGTTTCACCATCATACCCTACACAACAGAGGCATCTGTTTTATGGAATGAGGAATCTCTGGGATTCCCAGATTCAGATACAGCAAACTTGCCAAAGGTAGCACTCACCTTCATCTTTGCTTCTCTTTTGTTTTTAAGTTTCATTAACTCCAGGCCTAGATTTCTCAAATTCTTCTGGTTATCATTTTCAGAAAACTAAGTACAACAAACACATAAAAAACTCAGAAATATTTTCCTCTAAGTCACATATAAAATCTCATAAATGTTTATTATTCTATTAATCATTGGGACTATTATTTGCCTGCAATATACTTTGGTAGAATAAACAGTCTGACCAACACCACAAACACTGACTGTAAACTACTACTGTTCATAGCCCTCTTTTCCTTAACGTGACTTTGGTTTATTTCTGAAAGGTAGTTTGGGTGGTCACATACCTCTATATGCTGTAAAGTTCACTATAAGGCTCTAAAACAAGTCTTTAAGAGAGGATTTCTTGAAGTGTGCTTGTGCAACAAAATGAAACTGAATTGCCTGATATACTTTGAAATATGCAGAATACAGGATCTATTCCAGGATTACTAAATCAGAATCTCCCTGAGTGGGGCCCAGGAATATGCTCCCTGCCTGAGAGAGCAATGTTTGATTCTAGTGCATCTTTTTCCTTTTGTAAGCAAAGAGCCCAGCATGTTATAAACCCCAAATAAATGACTCTGAACAGTGATTTATACTCTCCCTGTATTTCTGTAACAAGCAGGAAGACCATGTTAAGCCCTTTAGGATCTATTAGTGTTTTAATAGTGATAAACACAATTTACCTATTGAACATATTTAGTGCATCAATTTACTTATTTCCCATTTTATTCCCAAAAGAATTTGAGATGGAAGCTTGCTATTAGGCTATTTATTTCAGAGAAAGACTGTTAAAGTGATTTCTAAATATAAATTCTGTAATTTTGATTACTAGTCTTATTTACTGAGGGCGATTTTGAGGGGTAAGAAAACGTCAGATATTAAAACAAAAAGTAACTTGTTTAATTATAACTTCTGCCAGGCACTCTAACTAAAAAGAAGATACAAGCCAGGCACAGTGGCTTACACCTGTAATCCCAGCACTTTGGGAGGTGGAGGCGAGAGGATTGCCTGAGCCCACGGGTTTGAGACCAGTCTGGGCAACTTGGAAAGACCTTGTCTCTACAATCAAAAAATTAGCTGGGCGTGGTGGTACACGCCTGTAGTTCCCGCTACTTGGAAGGTTGAAGTGGAAGGATTGCCTGAACCCAGCAGGTCGAGGTTGTGGTGGCCGTGAGTGTGCCATTGCACTCTAGCCTGAGCAACAGCGTGAGACTCCAACTAAAAAAAAAAAAAAAAGATACAATTCCTATTTGAAACAGCTTAATAGTTAAGGTACATCTAGTGAAGGAAAAGGGCTAAATTATTTTATTTACTAGTAAACGTTACCACGAGGCTCAAATACCTTAGATTTTAGAAGCTCATTAATCCTGGTCAAGTCAATAAGCTGTTTCTCCAGTGAAGCATTATTTGCAGAGAGAGAGGTTTTTTCCCTGATTGCAGCATTTAGCTTTGTTTCCATCTTCTCTAACTCAGTTTCTAGATCCTGAATCTGCCTGTCCCGAGTCCCACGTTCCTGCACAAGAACACGAATCTGGAAAAAAAACAAGGTGATAATAAATAACTCACAGATAAAATGCCAACATAGATGCTACAGATAATAAAAATGTTAATGCTTCTGGAAAAATGTCTAATTCTGACATTATACTCATGCAAATTCTTATTTTTCTAGCTATTTGAATAATCATATTTACCTTATGATACATCTTAAAATCTTAATGCATTTTAAAAAGCAAAGGACTTTGCTTAAACTTCCAAGTACAATTAAGCTATTTATTCACTTTTTAAGGTATTTCTATCTATAAGAGTTCTTTTCCCTAATTCAAATTACACATATTCAAACTATAGTTTGAAATGCTAAATATGTTTTTCTTTCTTTTTTTTTTTTGAGTCAGACTCTCTCAGTCCATCGTCCACACTGGAGTGCGGTGGTACAATCATGGCTTAGTCTCGAACTTCTGGGCTCAAGCAACTCTCCCTCCAGGCTATAGGCGCATGCCACCACACCTGGCTAATTTTTAAAATTTTTGTTTATTTATTCCCCCTCCCCCCACTTTTTTTTTTTTGGTAGAGATGAGATCTCACTATGTTCCCTAGGCTGGTCTTGAATTTAAGCAATCCTCCCACCTTGGTCTTCCTAAGTGCTAGGATTATAGTCACTATGCCCAGTGCTAATGTTTTCTTATTTCAAGAAGGCAGAACTGGGCTTCTGAATAGAATGTAGTAAGTGCTGGCAAGCCGTCATTCTTGCTACTACCACCAGATTTAAAAAATAACAACTTCTCAAAATCGAATATTTGCAAACAGAAAATGTAGAAGCCAGAAGACAATGAAATGGCATCTTCAAAATGATGGTGGAAAAACGTGCCAGCCTAAAATTCTATATGCCATGAAGTAACTGATGTAAACTATCAGTTCTCATGCAAGTTCTGCCATTCATTCACCAACTATCTCACTAAGGCTTAGTTATTACACCTATAAGTATCAACCCCTACATCACTGGCACATAGCCTCAATAAAAGGGCAGCCAATATTATTAAAATACATATAAAAGCATCAGAGCAATTAGGAAGAGATTTGCAGTAATTGTGACATATTCTTGATTCAAAGCCAACACTTGACTGTATTCAAATGGAAGGTTTTAATATATCAAAAGAATATGTCCATGATAAGAAGAGTTGGTCAGCAATAGAAACATGAAAAAAAGACTGCCACAGAAGCACAGATGGCAGTGAGCAGCTTGGGCACTGCTTAGAAACTAAGAAACTACGTGGGTTCTTTAGGTCAGTGCTGTTCAATAGAAATTTGTCATGTGGAAATGCACTGTCCAGTCTGGTAACTGCTCACTACATGTGGCTACAGAGCACTTGAAATGTGATTAGTGCAACTGAGGAACTGAGCTCTTAATTTTATCGGATCTCTTTTTTTCCCCTTAGAGACAGGTTCTTGGTCCATCACCCTGACTGGAGTACAGTGGTGTGATCATACCTTACTGCAACCTCGAACTCATGGGCTCAAGTGATCCTTCTGCCCAAGCCTTTCAAGTAGTAGGACTACAGGCATGTACCACCAACTCAGATAATTAAAAAAAATTTTTTTCTTGTAGAGAGGAGGTCTCACTATGTTGCCCAGGCTGGTATCAAACTCCTGCACTCAAGCGATCCTTCCACCTCAGCCTCCCAAATTGCAGGAATTAAAAGAGTGAGCCACTGTGTCTGGCCTTATTTAATCTTATTTAATTTGAAAAGCCATGTGTGATGCGTGCTACCATATTGGACAGTGTAGTTCTAGGTTATTTCACCCTTGAGAAAGGTATGCATATTTTGTGCACAGCAACATATCAAGTTAGCCTAACTTCACCACAATCTAACTAACCTGCCAGGATTAGGATTGCATGCCCACCAAGGAATTCTCTAGCTATATTGTCTTTTTTCTTTTTGAGTTGGGGTCTTATTGTTGCCCAGGCTGGACTGCAGTGGCAAGATCACAGCTTATCACAGCATTCAACTCCTGGGCTATAGTGATCCTTCTGCCTCAGCCTCCCAAATAACTGGAACTACAGGTGCAGGCCACCGTGCCCTTTGATTTATTGTAGAGACAGGGTCTCACTATGCTGCCGAGGTTGGTGTTGAATTAGAGTGCTCAAATAATCCTCCTGCCTCAGTCTCCCAAAGTGCTGGGATTACAGGTGTGAGTCACTATACCCAGCCTAGCTATACTGTCTTAACACAGATTTACATACAGGAAGAGCATGTGCTATGGATGGATCCAAATATTTGATCCAAATATCTAATTGTAATAAACTGACATAATGGTATCTAGTTATCAGTTTTTCATGAAGTGGAGTATCTTGAATGTGTCCCTTGGTATGCTAACACACTTAACTCTGCCAGCATACATACTGAAATGCCTGGGTAGGGCTCTGAAATATTGCACCCAAGTTAAGGAACTATTCCCCCATAGGCACTGGTCTGAATGGAATGTTTGCCTTACTGCAGGACTCCTCAAAGTACAACAGAATCCTTATCTCTCAACTCCAGGTAACTGTTTTTCCAACACAAACCATATTTATTTTTCAAGGAGCAGAAAGTATTGCTTACCTCTTTTTCTAATATCTTCAAAGCTTTGCCATTCTTTTGAGATTCCTTCTGTTTAAAAGTCAAAGAAAACTATAAGTAAATTTAGGTGCTGCAATTATCACAGCCAAATTTGATTTTTAGTTATCAGAAAAGATTCATTGATTCAAACAGTTAATTTCTATTTTAACCACTGCTGCTAAATATTTTGGAGGTCACTTATCTGATAAATGAAGGAAGAGTTCTTAAAAATCTCAAGATATTTCAGGTTTAAAAGTTTTCAATCCAATAGCTAAGGCTATTTCTAACAACCCCAGTGAAAAGAACAGGTGGAACTTTATGAATAAAGCTTCTGACTGCCTCCCTGCTAATGTGAAACCGGAACACATTTTGAATATTTAATTATGCTATCTCAGAAAGAAAAGAATCTTATACAAAGAAATCAACTTAAACTTTGATATCCAAAGAGGAAAATAAATACACAAATGGAAAGAAATAAAGAAAAACTGAAATAGCACAAGCTCTGACGCTAACTTTCTCAGTGTCTTTATTCTAAATAAGACGTAGTTTTTACACTACTTTTTTTTTTTTATATCCAACAACCTTTCTGACACAATGGTTAGAAAGAGTATCTATTTTTTCCATCTAAAAGTGGAAGAAAATGCATAAACATCTTGAATAAAATGTTTTTTTTATCTGTTTCTAAGTTGAAGAGGACACCAATCTCATGTTTATTAATTTCACATCTGATGGCATTTTCTATCAGGAAAGGTCTACTATTTTGGGGCTCCACATAAACTTGTATGTAAAACTTGTAGTTCTATAAGGGTGTTTGTGAATTCTCTAATTAATTCACAATTTCAAAATTGTTTCACCAAGAAATTTAAATCAAGCCATTCCCATCAGTTTCCACAAAGAGTATCTATATCAGTCCTGCCCAATAAAAATATAATGGAAGCCACATATGCATTTTAAATCTTCTACTCGTCTTATTTAAAAAGTAAAAATTTTAATATATTTTACTTAACCCAATACATCAAAGATATTATTTCAGCATGCTATTAGTATAAAATTATTGAGATATTTTATACTTTTTTGCACTAAGTCATCAAAATTTGCTGTGTCATCTACACTTCACAGCACATCTAATTTGGATGCTAAGTTTTCATCAGAAATATTTATTTATATTTAGATTTCATAAAACATACAAATGAATAATTAAATTCACAATCCCAATTTTTCTAAAAACATCTAGTTTTCTACTAGTAGAACTGAGTATGTTTTTAAGTACACTTTCATTAAAATTAAATAATATTAAAAATTTAGTTCTTCAGTATCTCTAGCCATACTTCAGTGCTCAATAGCTAATGTGGTTAGCTGCTTCCATACTGAACAACAGAGCTCTACATTATAGGACAAGAGACTTAGGTAATTGTCAAGTGATGACTGAACAATCTAAGCTTAACTGTAGCTCATTAAAATATCTATTAATCTGTGAAAGTCTGTAAGAAAGTACAGCTTGCTTGTCTATAAACTTATGAAAACATTAATAATAGGCTCTTGCATAGCCATATCACAAGGCTATCAAGAATTTAATCTCTTGCCTCTCCTTAACCGTTTCTGAATAGCGAACCTCTATTAGACATTGGATTTTTTTTCCTTTTCTCATGACTAATACTAACCCTTCCCCACAAACAAATAAACAAGAACAAAACTCAAATGGTGGCACCTAGCAAATCAAAGCAAACACAATTTTGAATGGTTTACTAGGTAATGTATAATTTATCTAGATATTGAAATGATTGAGAATTGAAGACCATTTTGTAATTGTGAACCAAGGGCACATTTAAACATAATATATTTAGTAATGACTTAGGCAGAAATCTAAATCCCGATAACTTACTTCATTAATTTACAGACTCATATAATCTTGGTTTATATACTTAACCCATTTCTAATGAAATATGTCTTCAGTGATACAGTTGATAAACCACTTGGCACATAAAAGCTCCTCACCTTTGATTCCAAAGTCTTAACTTTTCTAGCTGAAGCAGGCAAGGTAGGATTTTTGTCAACATTAAGATTTTCCTGAGATTCTGCAGAAAAATGAATTTGTATAGATTATAGTTGGTGTTGTCAGGTTTTAACCACACAAAAAAAAATTTCTAAATTTCTAATTGCATTCATTATTATTATTTTTGAGTCAGTCTTACTCCATCACCCAGACCAGAGCATAGTGGAACAATCACCATTTACTGCAGCTTTGACCTCCTGGACTCAGACAATTCTTCCACTTCAGTCTCTCAAGCAGGTGAGACTACAGGCACATACCACCATGGCTGGCTAATTTTTTTCTTTATTACTAATTGCAATTATTAATGAAACAATATAAAGTTATTTTACTTTTTAACTTTTTAGATTAGAAGAGATAGTTTATTTAAAAGGTAAATTAGAAAGAGGAGATTCACCTCCCCAAGGAGAGAAGGGGGCCAAAGCCAAGTAACATGGCGATGGCCATAGCTCAAAGAGCACATGGACACATCAGTCTAGTATGGCTATAGCCTATTCTTTTTTTAATTGTACATTTTCAAATGATTAATTGCACAATTATTTGATCGCCTTTCTGATTTTCCTAATATTCCTTGACAGAAAGGTTATGGTAATTACCAAAGGGAAGATACCTATTTATGAGTGCTTTGCTTAGTTCAATGCAATGATGAAAAATGAAATCATTATTTTATACTTCACCCCCATAAATCCACCAAATAAGAAAATTTAAATATAGGTCTGGATTTAATTTTTAGAAATGCTATAGCATTTTTACATTTATTATTTTATTTATTTTTAACTTCATGGGAAACATGTGGAGATTACCTAGATATATTAGATGATGGTGAAATTTGGCCTACTAATGAACCTGTTATCCAAATAGTGACATGGTATCCAATGGGCAGTTTTTCAATCCTCACTCCCCCTCCCACCTCCCCCCTTAAGGTGCCCCCACTGTCTGTTGTTCTCATCTTTATGTCCGTGTATACCCAGTGTTTTGCTCTCACTTATAAGTGAGAACATGTGGTATTTAGTTTTCTGTTCCTGCGTTCATCTGCTTAGAATAATAGCCTTCAGCTGCATCCATGTTGCTGCAAAGGACACGATTTCATTTCTTTTATGGCTGCATAGTCTTCCATGGTGTATATGTTCCACATATCCTTTATCCAGTTCACTGCTGATGGGCAAGCATCTTTCGTTTAAATACAGTTATTCACAAGTTTAAAACTTATGAGATCAGATAGGCATCGTTTATTTGGGGATCCATTACCTTTTTGTTTTTTAAATCTTTCCGATTTCTGAAAGGATACTGGTCCTTTCAAAACTTCTGAAGTTTTGACATCATAAGCACCTGGAGATGGTGCACAACCTAGAGGATACACAAAACATTAATGTATCATCTACTGTTATTTACGATCCTAAGTTAAAAACATGTGGGGCAGACCCAGCGGGTCCCCTCCCACTGTGGGAGCTTTTGTGTCCTCTCAATAAATCCTGCAAAAATAACCCTACAAAAAACAAAAAACAAACGATCAAAAAAAAAAAAAAACAAACCAAAAACATGTTAGGCCGGGCTTGGTGGCTCAGCCTGTAATCCCAGCACTTTGAGAGGCCGAGGTAAGTGGATTGCTTAAGCATGCGGGCTCGAGACCAGCCTGGGGAACTTGGCGAGACCTCGTCTGCACAATAAATAAAAAATTAGCAGATGTGGTAGCGCGCACCTGTAGTTCCAGCTACTTGGAAGGCCGAGGCGGAAGGATCGCCAAAGCCCAGCAGGTCGACGCTGGGGTGGCCGTGAGTGTGCCACTGCACACCAGCCTGGGCACAGAGTGAGACTCCAACTCAAAAAAATAAAAAATAAAAAACACGTTACAATAAAGTGAATATATATGGAAAAATGCCATTAACAAATTGCTTCTATATATTTTTAAATGTAAAAACAGCATTATTTGATATTATCAAGGCCTCTCTATGAAGAACAACATCATCTTGCCCTTTATATCAATTGGGTCAAAGAAACACAGGGAACTGAGCAAAACAGTTAAGACAAGTTAGGGATGAACATAATATAATAGCAAGCAACATGGTTTTGTTATTAAGGACTGAATATGAGAAATAAAATCTTTGGAGCAGACGTGGTGGCTCATGCCTGTTTTCCCAGCAACTTGGAAGGCCAAGGTAGGAGGATTGCTTGGGCCCAGGAGTTCAAGACCAGCCTAGGCAACATAGCGAGATCTTGTCTCTACAAAAAAAAAAAAAAAAAAATTAAAAAAAATAAGCCATGCATAGTGGTATATGCCTGTAGTCCCTGATGCTCGGGAGGCTGAGGTGGAAGGATCGCTTGAACCCAGGAGGTTGAGGCTGCGGTAAGTGGTGACTGTGCCACTGCACTCCAGCCTAGAGTGAGACCTTGGCTCAGAAAAAGGAAAAGAGAAATAATATAATTGGTGTCAATTCTACTCAAAAAGAATCACTGAGGTAACTACCACTGGTGTTTAAAAATAAAGCAATTCAATCTGTGTAGCCCTCAATATTCAGCCTCGAACAAAAAATGTATAGTGATAATCTCTGACTAATATAAATAAATCAGACTACTGATGATGGCAATTGCAATTTGACCACACAGAAGCAAATAAACCACACTAAAGGCAACTAGAATTTTTGAGCACCTACTAAATGCTAGGCATTATGCTAAGCATTTTATGGATATTATTTTAGTTAATCCTCACAAGAACCCTATGTCATAATTTACAGATAAATAATTGAGACTTAGGTAAAAGTCATGATATGCATAGTATAAACTGTATTAAACTATATTTCTATGTTCCTGAAATTTACACTGTGTAATTTCACTTAACTGGAGTCCTAAATTTGAAGGCATTTCAGAGTACTTACACATAGCAGACTTGAGATGGGACTCTCAGGACTTACAGTTAAAATATTATTTGCAGAAAGTTTTAGCTAATTGGGATCCAAAAGATTAACATTACTCTATGAAAAATTATTTACTTCAGTTTGAATCTCATGCAAATAAACAGGAACACCATGGAGTTTTGACCATTCCAGGGCAACTACTGCTGTCCCCTAAGTGACTATCAAATAGGTAGATAGTAACTCATTAGTAGATCTTGACTAGCATTTTTATTTTTTAGTTAGGGGGGGTCTTACTCTGTCACCCAGGCTGGAGTGCAGTGGAACCAATCACAGTTCACCACAGCAGCCTCTGACCTCCTGAGCTTAGGCGATTCTGAGTAGCTAGGATTACAGGGGATTACAAGTATGAACCACCGTGCTCAGCTCTGTGGTGTGTTTTTTTTTTTTGGTAGAGATGAAGTTTTGCTTTGTTGACCAGATTAACCTCAAACTCCTGTACTCAAGCAATCTTTCCTCCTCAGCCTCCCGCAGTGCTGGGATTATAGGAATGGGCCACTGTGCCTGGCCTTAATCATCATTTTTTTAAAAAATGCACAACAAAAATTGTCAGCATGACTCACATGTAGCGAGGTAAAGCATTGCTTTGTAAAACTTTGTTTCATATATATTTGTAGAAATATAAAAATATATTCTAGGGAGATATATAACACTTATTTCTTACCCTAGGAAAGAGTTTAAGAAGAAGTGAAGTCATTGCTTTCACCAATTCTAAGTAAACCATAAATATTCTATTAAGGATAGAATTAAGTTTCATTCCTCTATCTGGAATAATGATCATTTAGATATACTGACACAAAGACTCCAATCCTGGAAACGTTCAGATCTAAATAAGATCAATAATAAATAAAGGTAGTAGATTTTCAATTAGGAACAAGAATCTCAAAATGAAGTGCAGAATTCACTGGGATAAGGTAAAGGTAGGATTTGCAAAAAGCAATAATCTTGGCTAGTTCAGATTTCCCACAACTCACAAACTATACCCTGGGGTAAACAACAGAGTGATGGAGAAATCTCTAAAATCAGGCTAAGTGTGGCACATCTTAGAGCATCTATTTGATTCATTGGGGTGTATGGGTGGGGAGGTCATGGAAAACATATTGTATTTTAAAACAAATAGAAGACTTCAGAGAAAACTGCCACCAGCACTGGTGGGAAGTAGGTGCACGGATGCAGAACCTATGGTTAGTCTCCTTTTTCTCTCTGTTCTTAGAAAGAGTAATAAGCACTGCTGTAGACTTTGCAAGTAGCCAGAAGAAAACAAAAAACTCAACAATGTTGAATTCTAGTATTCTCATGCATCACTGGATCCACACTATCTTTTACATACAGTATATGTAAAAGATAGTGTGGATCCAGGGATGCATACAGTGTGTCTGTGTGTGTGTGTGTGTGTGTGTGTGTGTATATATGAGCGAGAGAGAGAGAGGTCTCACTATGTTTCCCCAGGCTGGTCTCAAATTCCTGGCCTCAAGCCATCCTCCTACTTCACCCTCCCAAAGTGCTAGGATTACAGGCATGAGTTACTGCACCTGGTCTGGGTCCACACTCTCAAAGGAAATAAGGGCCAGCAAAAAATGGGACAGTGGACAGTGAACAGCATATACAAAGTAAGTATATACAGTGGACAGTGAACAGCATATACAAAGTGGACAGTAAACAGCATATACAAAGTAAGAACAATAAAGACCATGGTTAACAAAAGACTCTTCTCTTCCCTAAAGACACTACAGAGTTAAACTTGCTACTTAGGGGGATTTGGATTCCAGGGGAATTAGACTGAAATCTAGCCTGTGTACTTACCAACTCTTTGTGAGACTGTGGCACATGATATTTTCATGCTCTTTGTATTTTCTTTACCAAGTACTTTTTGTACTTGGTACTTAAATGTACTTCATCATAGATATGACTTGTTAAATACTGGGAAAGAGGGTACATCAGACCAAGAAAGGAATATCTTGGGAGAAATCATAAGCGTTCTGGAACAACTTATATTGTCATCAACCAATGATCCAAAGCTAACACAGTCAACACTTTTATGCCAAAAAAAACCCTTTTTTTTTTTTTTAGTTGGAGTCTCACTCTGTTCCCCTGGCTGGAGTGCAGTGGCACGCTCCCTGCCACTGCAGCCTTGACCTGCAGGGTTTAGGCAATCCTTTTGCCCCAGCCTTCCAAATAGCCGGAGCTACAGGCATGCGCCACCATATCTGGCTGATTTTTATTTACTTATTTATTGTAGAGACAAGGTCTTGCCATATTGCTCAAGCTGGTCTCGAACCCCCGAGTTCAGGCAATCCTCTCGTCTCTGCCTCCCAAATTGCTGGGATTACAGGTGTGAACCACTGCAGCCGGTCAAACAAAACATTTTATACGTTACTTTCAGACTTCTGTTTTCTATTTCTGCCACCTAGAATGGACAGACTATCTCCCCTTTTGCCTGGTTAACTCTCATTTATCCTTCAGATCTCAGCCCAGATGTCATCTCTTCTAGTTTTTTCTGAATCCCCAAATAAGACTAGAAAAGTCAAAGCAGCTTATGCATACTGTTCCTACCACAAAACTTCTCAGTTTTGTAATGGCTTATCCATCTCCCACAACAGACAAAACGGGTTGAATTTAGAGAATATCTTAATTATGTCTGTGTCCTAAGTATTTAACTCAGGGTTGAGTTCAGCAGCATAGAAAATACAGAGAGTATGTTGGGATGTAGGAATGGTATGAATAGGATTTTGTAATCAGTCAGATCAGGGTCCAAATCCATCTGTGTCTGCCAACCAACAGACATTGTTATGTGTCTGATACTTTGTAGATATAGGAGGAAGAAGATGAATAAGAACATTATACTCTCTCTACTTTTCCAGTCTAGTTTTAAGACTTCTAGAAAGTCACTTCAATAAGGATCAGATTCTTCATCAACGAACAGGAATAAAAAACAGTACCTACTTGACAATATGGTTGTGAGGATGACTACTGGAATAATATGAGAAATCACCAGTGTCTCATACATATTAAACATCAAATGTTATTCTTGAAACTGTAAGCCTGAAATACTATATCATTTGTAGAGCCAGTTTAATCTATTATAATGCAAAAACAAAACAAAACAAACACTCCTTGTTTTGTTTTGTTTTTGTCGGGTCTCACTCTGTTGTCCAGATTGGAGTACAGTGGCATGATCATAGCTCACCACAGCCTCAACCTTCTGGACTCAGGCGATCCTTCCACCTCAGCTTCTGAATAGTTGGGACTACTGTCATGCACCATCACACCTGGTTATTTTTAAAAATTTTTTGTAGAGACGAGGTCTTGCTATGTTTCCCAGGATGGTCTCGATCTGCTGGGCTCAAACAGTCCTCTGGCCTTGGCCTCTCAAAGTGCTGGGATTACAGGCGTGAGCAGTGGCCTATTCTTGGAATACTTAGGAAATAATATGGTCCTTGAGTCTTTTAATTAAGTAAATAAGCCTTGTGCTGATCCACTTGCTTGCTTGGCCTTTATGAGCAGTGGTGTACATTTTCATTCACATGTTGGCTGACAGAAATTACAGCTGTAATAAGTGGCCATTAGTGAATTACAATGGATAAATCATGGACTTTGATACTCAGTATTACCACTTACTAATTGCTCAATAGTTACAAAACCCCTCAGTTTTCTCATCTGTAAAATGAGGACAATATCAATACCTTTGTCACCTGCCTTTTGGAAGGAATTAACAGAATCTAGTAGAGAAAATGTTAGCCCAGTCCCAGAAAACAGTTAGCGTCTTAAATGATAAGTGCCTATCAACCACCATCTAAGGATTCCTGGTTATTATGCTTGTGCATTGCAGTGTTTAAGAGCACATGACGGAGGCCATGTGCAGTGACTCATGCCTGCAGTCCCAACACTTTGGGAGGCTGAGGCAGGAGGATTGCTTGAGGCCAGGAATTCAGACAAGCCCGGGCAAAACAGTGAGACTTGGTCTTCATTAATTAAAAAAAAAAAGGTACTTGATGGATTCACTGAGGCCTGGGTTCATAACCCTGTTCCATCAGTTAGGTTGTGTAGCACTGAACAAATTTAAGTCCTAGTCTATCAATAAGATAATGAATAATAGGATTATTTCTTAGAGTTGGTGGAGGATTGGAAAAGAAGTGGTCATGGATATAAAGTCTTAGTATAGTGCTGAGGTTCAAGGTAAGTGGTCAACATCAGCCGCTATAACTTCATTTATAGTGTTTTTAGTAAGTGCTACTGCTATAATCTTACCCCCATAAACTGCCATAAATCCTCCTTCTCTTATGCCCAAAATTAATAGGCAAAAGAAATCCCATCAGCTCAGACGAAAAGTAATACCCGAACGTTCTTATTCGTGAGGCCTTCTCGGACTTAACGATCAAATATCTCCCACTGCCTCCTCGTCCCTATTCCCTTCATCGGCTTTAGTTCCTCCATACCGCGAACTGTTTATTGGCAGTATGTCCCACTTGAATGTAAGCCCCACGGGGCAGGGACGGATTCACTCACTGCTGTATCCTTAGCAACCTGAACAGCACTTGGCGTGTAGTAGAGGTTTAGTATATATTTGAGAAAAATGAGTCGATAGAGCGATCCCCACCCCGGCCCTAAAATCGCTGCCTGCTTGCCTCCCAAGATGGGAACCGAGAGGGGTGAGAGATGTTAGAGCGTTTCCCGTCCCCCAGCTCCTTCCTCCTTACGTACCAGAAGGATCATTGAATCGTTTCAGGGGCGCCTTAGGAAACGACATGCTGACCAAAAGGTCCAAACACACCACCGCTCGGCAACTGCCTACGGACGATTACGATTACTGCCACCGGATTACAATTCAAATCCCCTATGACCCGCCCACCCCGGCGTCAGCCAATTGGAAAGCGAAAACCATGGTACCCACCGATACCCACCAATCACGCACAGCAACGCCAAAGAACATGACGTTTCTAGCTGTGTCCAATTAGGTGGCTCGTATGTTTAAGCTGACAGCCAATAGAAGACCGTTACTGTTCGCTACCCCGCCCATCCGCCCTATCTTTTCCGGCGTTAGTCAATTTGTAACCTACGCTTTAGAAGCAATTGCGCAAGCGCGCTGAGAAATTTGGAAGTCTGCGTTTTGGCGTCTTAGAGGTGACAGCATAGTGACTACCTGCTTCATTGGTTCTAATCATCTCCAATCGTTCTTTAGGTGTAAAGTTCTCTGGATTGCAGTTCTTTCAAATCCAGTCCTGCCAGTGGCCACTGAAACGGAAAAACGAGCACGCGCACGGGGCCACCAGCTTGGCGTCTCTGCGCATGTGCATCGACCGGAGCAAAGGGGCCGAGGCGCAGCCCGAGCGTAGGGGTTCCGCGCGTGCGCTGGGCTCTTTCGGGGCGGCTGCTGCCCGGAGGCCGCTGGACTATGTCGGCGCCCTTTGAGGAGCGCAGCGGCGTGGTTCCATGCGGGACCCCGTGGGGCCAGTGGTACCAGACCCTGGAGGAGGTGTTCATTGAAGTTCAGGTGCCTCCGGGGACTCGCGCCCAGGATATCCAGTGTGGCCTGCAGAGCCGGCATGTGGCGCTGGCCGTGGGTGGCCGCGAGATCCTCAAGGTAGCGGCAGGTCGGGGCTTGTGTTCAGTTTCTTCTTCCCGACCTCCCCACATCCCCGAGTCCTAAAGTTCATTGTTTCCATGGGATGACACCCTTTGGGCTGAAAGAGAGAGCAGAACATTGGCCTGGCTGGAGCTTCCATCCTCAGGGCACGTCCCTAGTTGGAGAAATTTCAGGAGCTCGTTTTTCTGCTTTATTTTCAAACCAAGTCAGGCTGCTGCTTCTGTTTCTTTGAGGGTCTTCAGCTGGGAACAAGTTAACTAGGTTGCTAAAGGAACAAATATTGATGTTACATACGCCTTCTTCCGGGCCCTGATCCGTGTGCCAAGGAGTGCAGCGAGACCAAGAAGGTTCCTGCACTCAAGAGAATCTGCACTCTTCTTGTAGCGAGCCATAATTAAGAAACATGTGGGCTGAGATAGGAAAGCATGGAACAGAAAGTAGAGAACAGATAACGGGGTGAAGATTCAGAGATGATGTCAGGTGATTTATTTGCTCGTTGTAAATTAGAAAAATCCTGCCTGTGTAGTGGTCAAGCAGGTGGTGAAAGGGTGTGTGAAGAAAATAATTATAGTACCCCTTTTATTTATTTTCGTCAGTGTTCTTTGAATCTGGAACCCGCTATTTTCTTGCTAAGCCTAGAGTTAAATTTGATTGAAATTAGATTTTGTTTTTAGATTAGATGTCCAGGATGTTTGATGGCAGTGTAATGTAATGGTGAAGGGAGACTCCTTGGGATACCTGGCTACAACCTGTTGTCTGTTTTGTAAACTTGGGCAAGAGTTTGTTCAGTGTCTGTAAGCCTTACTCATTCCCAAGGATTGTTTTGAGCATAACATGCTATTCATATGTATGAAGAACTTGGAGTAGTACCTGGTATGTAATAAGCTCGTAGTACTTGTTAGATGTTACTGTATATAGAAGTGCTCTGAGTGCCTCAAGATTCACGTGAAAGACATTGGTTTATGTCAACTTGGATCTAATAACTTCTGAATAGTTGTACAATTCATAGTTTCCTGAACAATGGTTTAAGATGACAATTTAACTTACTTTAGTAATTGTAATAACTTTGGGAATTTGGCAGTAGCGCTGGGATTTTAGATGTATTGATAGACCAGTAGGATTTTTTGTGTGTGTGTGAATTGGAGTCTCACTCGGTCGCCCAGACTGGAGTGCAGTGGCCGCTCCCGGCCGCCGCAGCCTCGACCTGCTGGGCTCCGGCGATCCTTCCGCCACAGCCTTCCAAGAAGCTGGAACTACAGGCGTGCGCTACCACGCCCAGCTGATTTTTTGATTTATTGTAGAGATGAGGTCTCTCTGCCCAGGCGGGTCTCGAACCCGCGGGCTCAGGCAATCCACTCACCTCAGCCTCCCAAAGGTGCGGGATTACAGACTGAGCCACCGAACCCGGCTAGGATTTTTTTTAATAGTACTGACTTATTTTAAAATGTGTGATTTTTTAGTAAACTTAATTTCATTTTCTATAACTTAAATTTGGCAACAAACTAAAATGGGTTTGAATGTATGCATTCTCTTAAATTTTTATTTTGCTTAAAACAAGAGTTTGTGAAATCAGGTCTAATTTGACATCAGGTCTAATATGACATCAGATCTAATCCAACATCACTTCTACAGTATGTGCTTTAAAGTTTTTAAAATGCCGATTGCCCAACAAAGAGATTGAACCAGTTTTTTTCAGTTTACATTAAAAGACAGCATTTCACCAGACGGGGCAACATAGCAAGACCTCGTCTCTACAGAAATATCAAAAAATTAGCCAAGCGTGGTGGCATGAGCTTGTAGTCCTAGCTATTTGAAGGGATCACTTGAGTCCAAGAGATCCAGGCTGCAATGAGCCTTGATCATGCCATCGGACTATAGCCTGGGTGTTAGACTCTGACAATGAATAAATACATACATAAATATCAGCATTTCTTGGTTTTGCAGGCAGTCCCTTCTTGCAGTTCATTTTAATTTGTAGAATTAAAGCATTTCAGATATTTCACATTTGGCCAATCAGTGATCAGAATTTCTACATCTAAAAATTAAGGAACCTTGATCTTTTTTTAAGAGAGCCCTGTGTTCTTTGTCATGCAGTGTAAACTAGGCTCTGTTTCACTTGCTTGGAGGACATTCAGGATTGAGCACTTACAAATGTGGTGAAATGGTGTAAGGTATGGATTAGGTCGAAAATTAGGTAAGTCTTAATCTTGACAGCTGCATAAAAGTAATGAAATGCTATATTTTTAGTACTTTGTATGTTTCTTTTTCAGGGCAAACTCTTTGATTCTACTATAGCTGATGAGGGAACGTGGACTTTGGGTAAGGGTAACTATTATAATTCATAGAATCTTTTTTAAAATCAATTTTGTATTAGAATTTGGTATCTTTTTCTCTTTTGCATTAGGTCCTTTTAGGCTTTGCACCTTTGAAAGATACTGATAGAAATATGTTGAAAACAGTTGGATGTCAAGATTTCCTAAAAAAAGTTTACCTAATGATTTTTGAAAAATATAAAATTTAGTGATGAACTCTAATTTTTTTATTTGTGATTTTTTTTTTTTAGAGGACAGAAAAATGGTTCGTATTGTTCTTACAAAGACAAAGAGAGATGCAGCAAATTGTTGGCCTTCTCTTCTGGAATCTGAATATGCAGCTGATCCTTGGGTACAAGACCAAATGCAGCGAAAGCTTACATTAGAGAGGTTCCAAAAAGAGGTAAGTCACTTGAAATGTGTGAATATGTGTAGTTAAATATCTAAACATCATAGAGTCAATATTTTTTGAATTTTCTTGAGAGGAATTTATTTGTATTGATATGATTTCCAAGTTTAAATTCAATTAATGTATATCAGTAAAGCATGAATAAACTCTTAGAAAAATTGAATATAGGCTTACATAGTGTAAAAAGTAAAAGGCCCTTTTACCACCATTTTCCCCATTCCATGTACCTATCTCATTTTCATCTCATATACTGGCTTTTTTGTTTTGTGTTTAACACAAATGTAGAATCACACTCTGTATTGTTTTTCATGTTGCTCTTTCGTTTAATAGTATGCCTTCGGTCTCTTTTCCTGCTAGTGTGTAGGTGTAATATTCATTCCTTTTAACTGCTTCAGAGAATCTCTAGTTTTGTCTTTGATATGATTTAGATTTCTTCATTTTAAATAAAGCTGTGCTTTCACTTCTGTGAAATTACTTAGATATTCCCAGATAGATATTTTAAATATAAATATTTAGGAGCAGAATTACTGGATCAAAGCACTTTTAAAATTTTGATGAATCGTGCATATCTAAGAGGGGGACCCCAAAAAACTCAGAATTTATTTTTTAAAAATTGTGTATTAAATGTTTAAATTTCAGTCACCTTCAACATACTCTCTGATATGGTACACCTATTAAGATGCTTTTTCCACTGCTCAAAACAGTTTTTGAACTAGTCAATTTTGATGCCTTTTAGTGCTTCTGCCATTTTTTTGTTTCACTGCCTCCATTCGGCAAAACGTTTTTATTTGAGGACTTTTTCAACCAGAGAAACAAAAAAAAAAAGTTGCTCGGGGTGAGATCCCATGAATGGGGTGAGAGGAGTCATGTTGTTTTTGGTCAAAAACTACTGAACACTCAGTGTGGTGTGGGCAGGTACACTTATAAATCACCTATCATGAAGTGGGCAAATGTGCTGAATCTTCAAAAACAAAATTCACTGAAACCAAACGCAGCTTGTCACAATGATGCTAGTTGGTACATTCCTAGAACACTTACTTAGCAGAGGAAGCCTGTCCTACAAGGGGCCTACCCTCCAAAAAATAATTCACACCCCCTTTTTTTTTGGTCCTCCATATGTGATAATGATTTCTAGCCTAGACTTTTCTTCTGAATTTTGGACCTATGTATTAGTTGTCTATTTAGCATCTCTACCTGGCTATTTAATAGACATATCAAACTCAATATGTCCAAATTGAACACCCCTAACTTCTTTCCCAAATTTGGTCAGCCTCTAGCCCTCTCATGTCAGTTGATGGAAACTGGTGGGTCAGGTTAAAAAAAATTGGAAATCATCCTTTATTCTGATCCTTCTTTCATACCCTATTTTATTAGGAACTCTTATTGGAGCTACCTTCCACATATATCCTAGACACAGTCTTCTCAAAATAGCAGTTAGATCATGTTGCTTCTCTCGGA